ACCTTACACATAAAAATGAAATCAACAGTTTACATAGTTTACACATTTGATAAGGATTTTTGACATGGAAAAGATCAAAGTGAAGATTAATGTAGAGCTAGTGCCTAAGAAGGAATTTTGCAGAGGCAACAATGCAGAAATGACAGCTGTGGTGTGAATCTTCACTAAATTTTTGGTGGGATTTGTTATTGACAGATTTTACGAATGTTTTGATTTCAAAAAAAAGTGGTGATTAACTGATAGAGAAGGAAAAAAAGCACTCAAAACAAGTAAGGTAAAGTTCAAACATACTTGGATTTTGAATGAATGCTCTTGAATCTTTTTTGATGAGGTAGCGATGTCAATCCAGCGACTAAGTTTATCAAAAAATTCCATCACACTAAAAAATGCTTAATTACAAAAACAAATAAAAACATGTCACGGCGAATATACATAAAGACTCTATGAAAGATATTCTGCTAAAAAATCGAAAAACGCACCTGACACTACATATCTTAAGTATATTAAGCATGGAATATGGGAACGGCCGCTGATTGAATTTTTCCGTTTCCAACATAACGCAGTAGAAAGCACAGGGAACGTAAGCTATGGTTTCGTCCTAAAGATCGGGACCAAACTCAATCAAGCAATTTGATTTTAAAAAAGTTTCATAATCCAACAAACAAATTTATTTATATTGAATCAATTACTGTTAGACTCACATCCAAATCGACTTTCTCACTCATAGTAAAGAGTTGATTCCAGACAGCATCTCGCAAAGTCTCGGACATCTCGGGATCTATCGCAATACAAACTTGAAGGAATCCATCATCAGGTGAGGGAATCTATAAGTTGGTATCTAATCGAGAAGCACCAATGAAAGTTGTTAGAACATAACCTCATGAGAATAATCGAGTACTTCTTCTTCTACGCGGCCTTCACTATTATCGGATATCTGCAAATTATGCTCGTATTGGTTGAAAATGGTTGTTTATACCCACTATCAGCTATGAGGATCCTTAATATTTTGCTCTGCCAGTACACTGAATCTGAACGTTTTTACTATTTCCAAAGGCTCTTCAAAACATTCAAACGTATATATGTATATATATATATATATACACGTACATATATATACATATATATATATACATATACATATATACATATATACACATGTACATATACATGTATATATATATACATATGTATACATATACATATATACATATATATACACACATATATATATATAGTATGGAAAAGGGTATGAAAAAATGAACGAAAGTTTTTAGGGCGCAGAAAAGTGAGATGTGGTAAATGATCGACAAAACTGACTAATCTGTAATTTTTCTTTAAAGCATATACTTTTAATAAGCAGTAAACATATATACGCAGAAACCAGAGAAAGTTTTGCATGAAAAGATGAACATCTTTGGAATAGAGTTAATGCAAGAGCTCTGTGAATCAAGTTAAATGAAGGTACCTCAAAACCGGAGCATATTGTCTTCATTTCCTTGTCATCTTGGATGACTTCAGGCTCATCAGTAGCCTCCATCTGCGACTAGGAGGCGGTTGATAGACCTCCTAAACTGGCTCTCTGTTATAGATCCAACACTAAGTTTGTATGCGGCTCTCAAGATTCCAAGAAAAAATAGGAGTGAGGTGAGCTTGATCACATGCAGAAATATGCAAGAAAGGGGACTTCCCATAACACGTATACGCATGCCACGTAAGAAGGATTCAGAAGAGCCGAAAGCTCTCCAGAAGAATGAAGTGCTATCACGATGAAGGTAAAGAATCCCACTCGAATAACTCCTATATAAGGTTCCCAATATGGACAACTCTGTTGGCAGCGAGTCAAGCTAGCTAAACCAAAGAAGAGAACATGAAAATACTCATAAAATTCGAAAATGTTCCTCAAAATCTTAAGAGTAAGTAGTCTCTGGGTCTACACATACGATCGTATCTAGAAAACTT